CAGAGCCTCAAGCTTTCCCCCTGGGTAGAGTGCTGTGGCATCACAGCTCACAGCAACCTCCAACTCCTGGGCTCAAGTGAGTCTACTGCCTCAGCCTCCCAAGTAGCTGGGACCACAGGCGCCTGCCACAGCACCTGGCTATTTTTTGGTTGCAGCCGTCACTGTTGTTTGGCAGGCCCAGGCTGGATTCGAACCCGCCACTTTGGGTGTACATGGCTGGCGCCTTAGCCACTTGAGCCACAGGTGCCGAGCCGCCTTCTTTTTTTTGATTTCACACATCTCATATATCCTGGAGATCACTCTGTAGGAATCTACAGGGATCCTCATTCGTTTTTGTAGCTATACATTCTACTGTGTGAGTATAATAGTCTGTTTAACAAGTCTCCAATGGGTGGATATTTTTTTCCCCATTACATAATGCAGCAATGAATTACTGTATGTGGTTGCTATTTGTGAAAGTTTATCTTTGGGGCAAATTTGTAGAAATGGCTTACATTTATTTTATTTATTTTTGCATAAATGCTACATGAATTGAAACCCCCTGAGTAACAGTAAAATTGGCATGCCTCCTCATTTTTCTCCAGAGATTATACTATTTATTTATTTATTTGACACAGAGTCTCACTACATTGCCCTCGGTAGAGTGCCATGGCATCACTGCTCACAGCAACCTCAAACTTATTGGGCTTAAGCAATTCTCTTGCCTCAGCCTCCCAAGTAGCTGGGACTACAGGCGCCCACCCCAATGCCTGGTTATTTTTTGTTGTAGTTGTCATTGTTTAGCAGGCCCCAGCCGGTTCAAACCTGCCAGCCTCAGTGTATATGGTCAGTGCCCTAACCATTTAGCTACATGTGGAGAGCCAAGAAATTATACTATTTAATATTTGGTTTTTCTCCAAATATAGTGAGAATCCTTTTTTCAATTATTGCATGTTCTTGTTTAGAACTTCAAAGAGAGAAGTTGTTTTCTCTTTGTTTTCTGATACCAAATAGTACATGTTTCTAGGCACAATTTGAAAAATGTGGGGAAAAAGACACAAAGGAGAAAG